GCTATTTATTATCTGCTATTTTATTAATATTCTGCTAGATTGATTTTTTTTTGCTATGTAATCAAATTTCTTCTAATTTTATGGATTTTCTGATATTTTGCTGAGCTTAGCTATTTACTTTGTGGTACCTCAATAATTTTCTTTATTTTCTTGATGTTCTGCTACTTTACTGATTTTCTCCTACCTTTCTAACTTCCTTCTATTGATTTCCTGTAGTTACACGCTGCTAACCATGGCGAAACGAGAGAGAGAGAGAGAGAGAGAGAGAGAGAGATTCACAGGGCAACATGGCTGGAGCTGCTACACCCAGCCCAGGCCAGCTGCTCTCCTCCCTCTCAACACGTGGTTGGCCTTAGTCCAACCTCAAGACTGACTGATGTGGCAGTACGTTAGACGGCTTGGCCTGTCTCTCTGATAATTCACTTCTCTTTCCCTTATATCATTAGTATTACCAACCCCTGCCACCGCCTCCCTCATCCTCAGCCTACAGTACAGTCAGACACAAAAGTTCGCTCCTTGTGGCGAAACTGAGTCACGGGAATGGTTTCATCTCATTAGGGGTCGTTGCTGCTTCATCTTGGGCGGGAGTGAACTTTTGACCCCGACTGTACATGATGAACCCTGAGTTGTGTCCGTGTGTTGTCATGTCTTTCTGGATCTATACCTGTACCTGTGTTGTTGTTTCCAGGTAAATCAACAGCCTCCAATATTCTGGTTTAAGAGTTTCATTGACCAGTGACGCAGTGAGCTTCTATCCAGGGAAGCTTTTCTTACGCTGTGTCACCCGCTCGAGGCGTCTTCACATCACCGCCTCATTACTCCGGTCCGGTGCGCCTCGTCCACTCGTTTATTTAACTCCCGGGCCTCTGGTAATCCGGGATATGTCAGATTAAACGTACCGCACTAACCTATCCTAACCTTATCTTACCTTATATTTAACCTTACACTTTACGTAACCTAACTTTACCTAACCTCACCTTATATCTTACCTAACCTGTGCCCCACCAAAATCGTCCAAACTTCTCTCGGTAGTCCTGGAATGCCTCTCGGTCAGCTCAGCGTTCCACGGCCAAATTCTACATCTATTCGCCGATACTAGTGGCGCGCGCTGCTCCATTACTGTTATTTATAGACAAAGCTGAGTGTTTCTTCTGACTATAAGACTTGGTTTGCCCGAGGCACTCCAGCCCACTGATGGCTCTTGTGATTTAGCCCGAGTGGTTTTCATCACTTGACCTCATGCCCTTGTTAGTGTGTTGTTCGGTTGTGTTGTCGACAGCTCTTTACACCTGAAATTAACACTGTACAACAATGAAAAATATACAAACTAATAATTATAATTTCCATGTCTTTTAAGAGGTGTATACAATGAAGCTGATATCAGTTTTGAGTATTATTTTTTGGGGGTATTTTGGAAGTGAATATAATATACCTGAACCAAAAATGTGTTCAGGTTACTAACGCAATACTCAAGTTGTCTCTGAGCTGTCTGGTCCTCAACTTAACCCAGAGATTTAGTGACACAATTCTCTGAGTGTCCGGTAAACTCTGAAACTTTCAACCATTACCTGAAGTCTCCTGGTGGAATTCAACACAACTTGTTCTGACCTTCATCACCCAAAGTGTTAAAATGCTTGTGTCAATAAGAGCGGTGGTAAGATGGCCAGCGGGTGTAAGGGTGTGTGTGTCCTACCGCGGTGAGACTAACGTGTTACAGGATCACTCACGTCTACTGTGGTGACTGTGATGTGTTATATAAGGCTACAACTACTGTATAATGAATATAATAATTAACCTGACCTATACTGACCTCATACACGTCACAGTGACCTACCTGGCAGACACGACCAGGTATCATTAGTAACCCCGCTGACTCTACTGTACCGGAGTGTGTACCATTACTCACTGATCACTAGTTAACATAAAGGGTTAATATTGTTAAACACCAACGACTACAACACCGGTGTAAGGCATGATCTTCTCTGCATTTACCATGAAAGACTAACAAACCTACAGCGAAAAGCAAAACATACCGGTAGTAATAAAGAGTAAATCATAAGGTTTTCTCTACAAGCAATATAACATGAGCTCCTTTCTGGCTCTGTAGACATCAAAGCGGTATAGTTTCCTCCATACACCCTGAAGTAAAGGCTGTCATACTGCTTTTCTAACACCCTCACATACTATTTCCTTCAAAGTTCCCAAAGTTGGCGGCAGTGCTAGAACAAACACTGCCTTTTGTATACAACTCGAACAAAGATTTAAGTTACAGTGTGGGTATAATGTTGGTATGGGAAGAAAGGTGGATGTGGGTGTGTGACAGAGGCGTGGGAGCGGGTATGAACGGGTGAGGGAGGCGTGGGTGTGGGTACAGATGTGGGTGTGTGACAGAGGCGTGGGAGTGGGTACCAACGGGTGTGGGAGGCGTGGGTACAGATGTGAGAGAGTGGTGTGGGCACGGGAGGGAAGGAGGGTAGGAGGGAGGGAGCAGCAGCGGCAGTATCGACCAGCACCGTGATGAGTCAAGAGCAGCGGCTACCACCGTCTCCTGCTTCACCACTACTACTACCACTATTACCACCACCCACCTACCACTATTACCACCACCCAGCTACCACTATTACCACCACCCCACCTACCACCACCCAGCTACCACTATTACCACCACCCCACCACCACCCAGCTACCACTATTACCACCACCCCACCTACCACCACCCAGCTACCACTATTACCACCACCCCACCTACCACTACTACCAATACCTCCAATACTACAACTATTACCATCGTATTTATCACTACTACCACCACCACCATCCACCAACATCACCACTGCTGCTATTCTACTACTACCATCATCCGTCCAAAAACATCACCTCTACTATCGCTGCTACTACTACTACTTCTACGACAACTACAAGTGACACCAACAAATTCATTCCACAATACTAACACCAACGTCCAATCACTACCACCACCAGTTACAACACTACCACGCCATCATCAATAACCACACAGCCACACCATCACCAATAACCGCACAGCCACACCATCACCAGTAACCACACAGCCACACCATCACCAGTAACCACACAGCCACACCATCATCAATAACCATACAGCCACACTATCATCAATAACCACACAGCCACACCATCATCAATAACCACACAGCCACACCATGACCAGTAACCACACAGCCACACCATGACCAGTAACCACACAACCACCACACCATGACCACTACCATACTATAATTCAACAATACCCCCACAGAACATAACTACCAACATACCACATATCACGACACCACATGACACTAACCATCAGCATCACATAAGCCACATAACCAGTGCCATTATAATTATGTTAGATACATCACCATTATCGTCACCATAAATATGTTCAGGTATCACATTACCAACACCATAGTAACAATCACACACATCATCATCACTACCACCACCACTGTCACCATAAACACAGCATCACTTCGGGTTCTACAAGTTACGTCACTGTCCCAGCTCCCAGGACACTATATATGCACACTGAGGGAACCAATCACAGTTCACCATGAAGCATATAGCCAGGTAAACAACAATGTAACTACCCAATCACATCCCCCCATAAAACCCTAATTACTTCCTCCCACACCACAGCTCTACGCAAGAGCATCCGTCCTTCAATCTGTCATGACATATACTGTAATCAAAAACTATTTTCCCACATTTTCTGTTACACACAAAAACACTACAACCAACTGTGAACAACACATGGAAACACTCGCACTTTTTCAATCTGAATTATTACACACACACACACACACACACACATATATATATATATATATATATATATATATATATATATATATATATATATATATATATATATATATATATATATATATATATATATATATATATATATATATATATATATATATATATATATATATATATATGTATATATATATATATATATATATATATATATATATATATATAAAATAGTTGTTGTTACAATAGTTTCATTGAACAAAGAAGAGAAATGTATCACCACATCACCAACAGAGGTTCACATCAAGTACTGTAGAGGAACAAATATGAAAACTCTGGTTCCTGCTACACTTGGCGCCTTCAAGTTCGTGTGCATCTTTAATATAACGCTGTACACAGTGGTGCTATCTATGTGCACTTAGGTTAATGATTTCACATTTTAAACACTCTGTACACACATGAATTGTTCACATAACTGTACAAAGATTTACATTTTCATATTTCAAACACCACTCAGGAGTGTTCATGTATATGATGTTTATGTTATACCTTTCAAAAACACTGTAGATAACACTCAATAATTGTCCGTGTTTACACTCACTTTCGTTTTCACTGTACACACATTGTAAATGTTCACACAGATTTACGTTTTCACTTTTCAAACAGAACTGTACATGTTCTGTACATTTAAGCTTGGATGAGAAACAGTTGCAGAGAGGACAGCTGAGGCAGCCAGCCCAAGGTGTTATATCCATAGTGAGTAACAAGCGTGATGACCTTCTCAAGATTCAGATTTCAGATTGGCCTTCACAGGAGAACTAGTCGTCAGTAATACAGTATGACGCCCCTGCAAACTGTACACCACTCCTCAATGACAAGCCCCTTGGAGGCTGCGTATCTCACTCGTCTAGAGACTGTACCACTCCCCACTGACACTGTGTACCACGCCCCCTTGACACACTGTACACTACGCCCTTCTGGCACACTGTACACTACGCCCCTCTGGCACAGTGCACACAGCGCCCGCCCCCCCAGGTATACTGTATACCACAGTCCCTAGATAATGTACACCGCGCCCCCCTGGAGACTAAAAGATCATATCCCAAGGCCACGCCCCCTGACAGGCTGTACACCAAGTCCCCCTGGATGACAGTACACCATAAATCACGCCCCCTGGGACACTGTTCGCCACACCACGCTGACGAGGTGGATAACATTACCTGATCACCAGCATGGCCAACAAGCCGGAGCAGGAGCAGTTGTTGGTGAACCACATCTGCCGGTGAGCTGAGCAACCACTGCCTCCCACCGCCGCCGTCAGCTGCCATGTGGGGACTACTGTGCGTGTGTGCGTGTATCCTATGCGTGTGTGTGTGTGTGTGTATGTGTGTGAGACAGTGTGTGTGTGTACGTGTGTGACGCTGGGAGGTGCGCGGGAGGGTGTGTGTATGCGCGGGAGCCACACCCACACCACCACCACCAGGCTCAACACCTCTTCACACACTCACGCCGTCACACACCTCCAACACACAACTTATCTACCTCGTCACCAACCTCTCGCACGTCACCACTCTCAGCCTCAACACACACACACCTTCTGCTGCACGTGTTCCCTCTCTACCAGGTGTTGTAGTGTCCTTAACACCCTGGTAGCGTAGGTGAGTCACTCGTGTACTCCCAAGTGGTATAGTGTCCCAACATCAGGGAAGATGAGGGTAGGCAATCCCAGGTGCCGGCAGATTCCACCAACTAATAGCAGCATTATTACTGTATATTTGCATAAGCTGATTGCACTCAGTATATCTACAGGTATAATGACAATTACCCAGAGGTCGACGCGTGCTTGTGTGTTTACTTTAGTTGGCAGTGTTTGTATGCGCGTCCACAGCTGCTTGTCCTCCAGGTATTTACTCTCACCTACACTTATGGATGACAGCCACGTTAAATACAGTATCGGGACGGACAGGTAAACAAAACCCCGACACACATACGCACTGACCTGGTGGGTGAAAATAATCTAGATCAAATGTAGATTAGGAATGTTTGTGATGCTGATTAAACACCATAACGTTACCTGGGGGGGTTAAGGTAAGGTTAGGTAAGGTAAGGTACAGTAAGGTTAATTTAGCATCACGGTAATTAATCATCAGGTTAAAGGTCTGGTCCTTGGAGTGTCCTCTTTAGGTACACTTAAGTTAGAAGTTTCCACCTCCTGATGTAGGAAGCTCGCAGGTGTCAATACTAACCAACGCCAGAAACTGCAACAGGAACCAAATCGATTCTGAGTGGAGGAGAATTTGGCGATAATCCCAACAGAAACAAATAACAGGTAGAACACCACACCTGTACTCCTAGTGGGTGTTGACGGGCACTACACTACACTACACTACACCTGTACTCCTAGTGGGTGTTGACGGGCACTACACTACACTACACCTTCTGAATATCATTACTTCACATAAGCTTCCCCGACTGATGAATATTAATTTTTTTTGTAACTAATGGAGGCGGGTAATAAGTCGCTAACCTTATGTATTAATTATCTCAATATTATACGAAAATATATATAAAAATCTATGAAATTTAGTTCCGTAAATTAAATTCAAAAACTTTATTAATTCGTAAAAAAAATGGCAAATGCTTTTATTAAACAAGTGTCGCTAAAATAAACTAAAAACTTTACTCACCTGGCTTATGTAATATTGTAAAGGTAAATAAGGTCAGGTATATTTAGTAATTAATTATGTGAGGGACAACACCTGCCTCACCTCACACAGTCACTCTAATGGGTTTATATTCCAAGAGAAACCTTATTTATACATACCATAACCTGGCCTGTGAGAGAACGTACAAGAATGAATGGATGGATAGATGAATGAATGGTCGGACGGATGGATGAATGAATGGTCGGACGGATGGATGAATGAATGAATGAATGGGTGGACGGATGGATGGACGAGAGAGAGAGAGGAGAGAGAGAGAGAGAGAGAGAGAGAGAGAGAGAGAGAGAGAGAGAGAGAGAGAGAGAGAGAGAGAGAGAGAGAGAGAGAGAGAGACTGACTTTCTCCCTCTCTGAGCACCCCGTCACCAGGACCACAGGAGGCCATTAGATCATTATAAATATTACATGAACAGAATCTGTTTATTGAGGGAGAGATTAGGACCCCTCACCACACCACTTACCCTCACTGTCTCTACCCACTGTCTCCACAACTACCACACTCACAGCCACACCTTCACACCCACCACTCACAGCCACACCTTCACACCCACCACTCACAGCCACACCTTCACACTCACAGCCACACCTTCACACCCACCACACTCACAGCCACACCTTCACACCCACCACACTTTAAATTCCTCCACTTTTACTTCTCTTTGACATACTGCAATACTAGGAACTCACTTATCGTACCATTAAGAGCAATATTAACACATAATGTTCAGTGATAACAATTTTAACCTTTGAGGGCATTGGTTTAACCCTTTGATGACATTGGTTTAATCATTTGATGGCATTGGTTTAACCCTTTGAGCAAAATAATCAAACCCTTTAGTGACGATATTTTAACCCTTTAAAGACGATAATTTGATCCATTGGTTGGAAATTTTGGTCATCAAAGGGTAAAAACTCAACTCTAAAGATAGAAAATTTTAATACAATTACTAGATGAAGAACAAACCCTGAACGACCATATTTTTGGCGGAGGAAACATGAGCTTGGCTTACATGGTGGTGACAGCACCGGGAGTCTGTCGCCGGCAAAAACACGATATTGCCAACAGTTTTGTGGCCAGGACAACAACAGACATTAGAAGCCATTTAACGTAAAAGCTCAATAGTGGGAGGAAGACCTTTTACTGAATAGACACAATATCAGGAACTTTTTATTAAACAAGTAGATTTTTATCAACATTAGCTCCCTCACCCCCATCCCCTCCCCCTCCCTCACCCCCGTCCCCTCCCCCTCCCTCACCCCCTCCACCCCCACTACCTGTTGCTCTTGTATGTATGTATGGTTGCTGACCCACTACCCGTTTCCTCCTCTCCCCTTTCCCTTGGATGGGTACGTTCCTCTCCCTCCTAGATGACCATGACCCCCTACACCCCCCCTCACTCCACGTCCGGGCAACGATGATACCTACATAGTTGGTGATGGGGGTCAAATAGGTCTCCTCACTTCCCTCATCCCTCCCCTCCTCTCCCCTTCCCTCACCTCCCCTATTTCCATCTCTCTCTCTTCTCATTCACTCTCACTCCTTCCCGTCCATTCAACATTCCTACCTCTCCCTCACCCACGGTCTCGTCTCTCACTTCCCCTCACCTAACTTTTCACCGTCTCTCTCTCTCTCACCTTTATAATCATCGCCCCTTTAAAATGTTTCTCCCTGAGGGTTTAACCTAAAACTAAGCTGCTTATGTGTTCCTCTTTTGTCTCCACATTCTCCCTCACCTCTCCCTCTTCCTTTACTCTCCCTCACCTTCTCAGTCCCCCTTCCATTTACTTTCCCTTTACCCTCCCTCTCACCGGTCTCCTTTCCCTCCCTCCACCGCCCCCACTACCTCTCCCTCTCCCTCCCCTCACTCCTCCACACCTCTCCCTCTCCCTCCCCTCACTCCTCCACACACCTCTCTCTCTCTCTCCTTTCTTATTCCCCTCTTTCTCCCACCTAACCTAACCTAAGGTAAGTTAGGTTACGGTAGGGTCAGGTTAGGTTGTTTAATCTGTAGGTGAAATAAGCTAGAGTGCAGATTCAGGTGATACCTTAAACCCAATTAAAACAAACAATAATGTCCATAGGTTTAATATCTGATCATCACATCGAAAAGAAAAAAAAATCCTTAAAACCAAATAAAACTAAATAAAACCAATTAAAAAATCACCCAAATACCATAAGTTTAACCTTTTTGATCATAAAACAAAAATAAACCAAATAAATTGACTAATAAACTCAATAAAGTACATAACAAAACTGACCACGGAATAAATTGAATCAATAAAACAAAAAACAAAATCAAAAGTAAATCAAATTAAAAAAAATCCCATTACTTTAACAATGAACAATAAACAGCGAATTTGCATAAAGTTTAATGACAAAACTAAATAACAAAACACAGGAAAACTCCATAAAACTGACCAAAAGTTCACCATGACCTTCACACCTGACCGTGACCTTTACACCTCCCCTACGCCCACCCCCCCACGTCCCCACCACGCACACTCCCCCATACGCCCCACCTACACCCACTCCCCCTACGCCCGCGCCTCCTACGCCCACAGCCCACTCCCTCCTACGCCTTACCTAAGCCTATAAAAACTTAATTTCTCTCTCTGACAGTTTATGGTGTGGATACCTGGCAAGGACGGACGGACGGACGGAGGTATAATGCCTGAATGACTGGATGGGTATAGGAACGGATGTATGAATGAACGAACGAACGGACACACACACACACACAGACTACTAAATCCGGTTCATGTAATCTCATCTTTAACTCCCCTCGGCACTGTGACCCTGAAATGCCCCGAAGGTGTACAAGATTTTGTCTCTCTCTCTCTCTCTCTCTCTCTCCAATCCACTGTTCCATTGGCTTTATTGCCACTTTCAGGAAACCGTTCGAATTAATGAGAAGTTCTTATCAAAAAATCCTGCCATTAGCGAAGTTTGCGCGTGTTGCGGATATTAGTGTGTGTGTGTGTGTGTGTGTGTGTGTGTGTGTGTGTGTATTGGTTACTAACACGGTATATATAGTACACGTGTATGGCCATCGTGACTGTAAATTAATAATGAGATCAATAGTCATCAGCATTAGGGTCACTGTCGTCAGCATTATAGGGTCACTGTCGTCAGCATTATAAGTCACTGTCGTCAGCATTATAGGGTCACGTCGTCATTATAGGGTCACTGTCGTTATAGGGTCACTGTCGTCAGCATTATAGGGTCACTATCGTCAGCATTATAGGTCTGTCGTCAGATTATAGGTCACTGTCGTCAGCATTATAAAGTCACGTCGTCCAGCATTATGGGGTCACTGTCGTCAGCATTAGGTCACTGTCGTCAGCATTATGGGGTCACTGTCGTCAGCATTATAAGGTCACTGTATAAGGTCAGCATTATCAGCACTGTCGTCAGCATTATAGGGTCACTGTCGTCAGCATTATAGGGGTCAGTCACATTATAGGGTCTGTCATCAACATTATGGGGTCACTGTCGTCAGCATTATACGGTCACTGTCGTCAGCATTATAGGTCACTGTCGTCAGCATTATGGGGTCACTGTCGTCAGCATTATAGGGTCACTATCGTCAGCATTATGGGGTCACTGTCGTCAGCATTATAGGGTCACTGTCG